GGGGCATCACGCGATGCGATGCTCCGCACACGTCGGTCACCATGGATGGAATGTCCTTTTGCTTGCATCGGTACATCGTGACCTATGCCAGCGGGCTATGTTTTTGTTGGACTCCAGGACTCCAAGCAACGAGTGGCAGTTTTCTGGACGCTGGCTGGCGCAAATGGTGTAGAAGTTCTCCGAAGTGCCAACAGCAGCTGCCGTCAAACGCCACCTTCTTGACCTTTACGCATCTAATTCTCTCCGGCTGGCCACTTCGCAACAGCAGCTTGGCGCGCTTTCTTGCCTGCCCAAACTTCGCGCCCTGCGCGGGGTCTTGCGCCAGGCCCAGAAGTTCGCCTTACTCAGGTAGTGCAGTGAAGGGAGACGGTAATTTCAAAATAGCCTCTCGCATCAAAAGCACGGCCACGCATCACTTTTTCAACCAATCAAACAACTGTGTGCACAGTTCTAGGACAGTGAAGTCCCAGCAAGAGATTCAGCAGTGTATTCATTTCTTTCACTTGTTGCGCGTCCAAATTCATGGTATGCACTTGGACCTGCTTCACTGAGGATCACTGGCGACCCACAGCACGAGGTCCTTGCATTGGCCAGACTTGTGCCTCCAACCAGCAGCGACGGTCCAAGGTTCTTGGCAGGTCGCAAGAATTTCATGGTTAGACTCCGTTTGCCAGCGCCGCCGCACAGACCCTGTCCGGCAGAACACATCTTTCGCGAATTGTCTGAGGACAGACTGCGACAGAGGGTGTTGTATGTGTTGCACTTTCTCGGCATGTTGCATGCGCCCATAATAGTGACGGACATGGTGAGACAGATGTCGCAAGCCCCTTTCAGGCCCTTTCGCCTTTTTTGATTGAAGCAGTGCGCAACAGACATTTTGATCTGGACAAGTTGTTGCGCTTCAAACAGCCAGAAGACAGAAATACAGAGTTTCTTGGGGCAGCCATATGCTGCTGGCGCACAGACTTGGTGCCAGATAGACAACCCTTGGTGCGGCTTTGCGTGCGATTCTGCGTGAAGCTACATGACACAGAGGGCAACTACAATGTCCGCAGCGCGAAAGACTTCAAGAGGGAACTCTGGCGCATCATCCGGCGGTACAAACAGCGCAGACGGACAACAATGCGGCGACGGAGAAAGGTGCTTCGCAAAAAAATCCTTCGAGGCAAGGCCGGCGTCCTCAGCAAGAAGGTAGCTGCAGGCTAGGTTTGAAGGGGTAATAGAATAATAAGATGCGTAGTTAACTGAGCGGGCGTGCTAAGCTTGAGCTGAGAGCTGACCGGCGCCACACTGCTTTGCTACACGTTAACATCTCTGCAGCCCCGTACCAAATATTGAGCGCAGCCGGCCGACTGACAGGCCCCAAAGCATGGATCGAGGTGACGTTGGGGCGGAGAGTGTAAATCTCGGGGGCTGGGCGGCCAGATGTGCTTAACTACAATGTGACCTTCTTCAGCGCACTTGAGAGCATGTCAAACCTCCGGGGTCTGAAAGAAGCTTGTTTGGATGGAGCCGCCAGCCCTCAGCGTTTCTAACCAAAGCAGGACCCTGCTCCAGCGAGATGACATGTGGAGGTTGGGGACGCTGCTCCGACAGGGGCCGAACAGCAGGCAAGAGCTAAGGATGTGAAACGATGCTACGCAGATCCACGCTCGTAGATGCCAACTAGAAAATCCTGCGAGCCTCTTGCAGATGTTCATTGTCTCAGCCGGAGAAGTAGTAGTGACAACGACATGAATGAGTGGATTTCTATGCAGAACACTTGGATGATGGAGGAGTTAAGCGGCGAAAGTTAGCAAATGTTATCCCATCCGTCAAACCGTCACGTGCCATCTGTTTGGGTGGAGCCGTCTCCAGACCTGATCATGGTATTCGTTTCTGCTACCCAAAGGTGGCTGGGAGCACGCAGAAGACCACCCTGCTCAACGTCATTGCATTTGAGCACCATTTCGGCAAGGCTGCGCAAGAATGTCCCCGAAGAGCGCCGAGCACAAGGGACAGGAAAACCGTGGGTGGGTTGCCCCCATTGCACCACAAAGGTGTGTTATGTATGTCGTTTTTGTCAACTAGCCAGTCGCGTATGCATCAAAAAAATCTGGGTTTGCTTCCGATGGTTCCTCTGACTGCGTTCTTGTTGTTTGCCTCGTTGTTCACCTTTTGTTTTTTGGGCCCCTTTCGCCCAGGAATACCATTGCCCTCCCCACAATGTGTGTGTGTGCGGAAATAGGGTGGGCAAAAAAAAAATCCTTATAAAGCTAGTGCACCATCAAAAAGACGCTTGCCACTAAGTCCTGCGAAGGTTTCCCGGTTTTTGTTGGAGTTTGTACTCCTAAGGATCCAGAGTTCCACGAATGCTATATGAAAGCTAAACTAGACGACACCCAAGGACGCTCAAGGACACTCAAGGTTATCCAAAATATAGACCAGACACTCAAGGACACTCAAGGACATCCTTGAGTGTTTTTGAGTGTCCTTGAGTGTCTGATTCAAATAGCGCACGTCTGGCGACCCCAATGTGGAATCAAGTGGTGGTTCAGGCGCCGGCGTGTGTGCCTGTGGTGTTTCCGCCACGTGCGAGGATTCAGTATGCAGTGCTAGTGGTGCTTCTGGAACCTTAGGTTCGGAGTCACGCGTGAGACAATGCTGAAGGGAAGAACGACGTTGCGGCGCCCTTGCCTGACGGAGGAGGTGTGCGTGATCTTCCCCGTGTGCGAGGTGTCTTCGGAATGTCTCCGAAGCGTTGGTATATGTTGACTGCCTGTCAAGCCTGCCGGTGCTTTTGGCTTCCGGTAGAGGAAGGTGAGGTGTCTCTGGGGCTCTGGATGGAGCCATCATAGCTGGTGCTACTCAAGGAACACGGTGTCATGCTGGAATCTCCTGCGTTTCATGTGGAGGTGGGCCTTCCTGGAACTGGGCGGAGGCATTCTTCAAGGCCTTTACGTCTCTCATCTGCTCTGCGGTGGTCAGAATGGAGGTGGAGCCCCCTTCTTGTCCTGGAAGGGGGAGAAGTGGTGGCGTGCCAGCTGACGGACCACCTTTGCCCTGGTTGTTCGGGCAGGTTGGATCAGCGGACCAATGTCCAAGTGCACCACAACAGCTCACCTTCTTCAATTCTTCAGGCGGCAGCTTCTTGCGAGCTGGGTTGGACGGAGTGTATTTCCTTCCCAAAGTAACACCAGCGGGCAGTCACAGTCAAAATATCTGCGACGGACTCAAGATCCGGCGCGTCATCATGCTCATCGTCCTCCTCGGGGGGCTCTTCATCATGTTCTAATTCCAGCTCTTGCTCTTCATCGACGGCGTCCAAAAACTCGCCATCCTCTTCAGCATCAGCCTCAGGTGGGGCATCCGTTGCATTGGCTGCAAAAACCTGATGCTTACCACCTTTGCCGTTCCATGAACCCTTGGTAGAGCTCGTCGAGGATGAAGGAGGTGTAATCGTCGAAGAAGAGCAGAAGCACGCCTTCCTTTGCTTGTGTGTCCCTTGCCCTGTCCCGGACTGTCACGACCTGCCAAGGGTGGAGCTCCTCTGAAGTCGGGATACTGGAGCACCATGGCCTCTGCAATGGCCTCAAAAGACAACGACTGTTGAGTCTCAATGAGCAGCATCCTTTGGGACTCTTGGCTCAGGCCAGAACGGTCCAATAGAGAGATGTCAATGCCAGGGTGAGCAAGTTTCTCTGGCAGTCTGAAGTCCTCATCAGCTCACCACATTTTCTTCGAATATTCTCAAAGTCGGCCAGATATTTTCCCTTCTGAAACACAGTCTTCTGTTCCATTGGGGCCTGAAGCATCCGCAAGATCTTCTCCACTCCGTCCTCCACATAGATGTCATCTATGGTAAGACGCTCTAATTCTGGCTCCGGCTCACCTGTCAAGCTTTTGTAAAGGAGGAGGGCTTGTTCACGATGAGATGCATATTGGCACATCTGAAGTTGCCAGATTTTCACCTTCTTGGTGAACTTGGCATAGGCTCGTAGATCATTGGCCTCATAGCGCCAAACAGGAGGTGTCGGGAATCCCAATCTCGACTCGTATCACCAAACTTTGTCCTTGCGAACAACTCCTTTCAGAGCCTTCACCAAGGCTCGCTCATCAGTCGATGAGGTAGAGGCGGCTTGCCGAGGAGGTAGAACAGGGTCGCGTGGTAGGGCTCGTGATTCCGCAGGATCACGTGAGCGGCGAGAATCGGGCGGAAGAGCTCCAGGAGAACCAACCACATCGGGGTCCACACATGGGTCATTGATCAACGCCTCAGACTCAGCGGCCTCACGGCCTTCGAAGGAGAGCTCATCAGGTGGAGGTCGGTAGCCATGCTTGGGTCGGTGTCGACGACGGCGAAGTCGGCTCGAAAGAACCTCACGTCCCCGTGGCATGAAAATCCACGTCCCATGCGGCTGCGCAACCTTCTGGGGCTTTTGACACCTCATAAAACTCCTCACTTCCACACTTCGTGCACTTCCACAACGTTTCCCAGACAGCCCAAGTAGCCGAATCACAGCGAAGGCATCTCCATCTCAAAGGTGTAGGCGACGTCAACGGAGAGGTCGGAGGAGATGCATCAAGACCTGGACTCGAAGCAGCAGCTGGCACAGGTGGACAAGGAGGCCAGGAAAGGTCCTCAAGGTCCTCAGGTTCCAAAGGGGGAATGGAGTCAGTGCCCCCCACATCCATAGCATGCCATGTCGGCATCCAACACACCATCCGCTGCGCAAAGGCTCCGGTGCCAACTCGTCAAGGCCAGCAGCAAATCACGGCCTTTTCCATCAAAGGAAAGTCTTAGCTCAGGGCCTTGAAAAGTGGGAGGTTCGGGCCAGTGGTGCAAAGCGGTCAGAGCATGGAATGATCCTGTTCAGAATTGTCAGATACGCTGACCTCATCATGCTATGCAACATTATGGGAAGTCACTCGAGCTGCTCCTGCATGAGCTGCCTCTGACAACATGTGCACTGTGCAAGCAAGATAGGCATGCAAAACTTGTCTGAAGCCATCCAAGTGGCGGTTTGTGGGATGGTGAATGTGCCTACAAAGCAGCACTCCAATCTCAGCCATGGCTTCTTGGAAAATCTCGTAGCCCTCTTCAGCGGACTCTCTCCCAAAGCCTGGCATCAAGGAAAACGACAGTGCGTACCACGTGATGGTGATGTCAACTGGGATGATGGTAATACCATCGACATTTGAACAGATTCGTATACGGTATAAAGTAGGTTCATGTAGGTTCATTCATTAGGTTCCGTAGACGCCGAATCGCTTTTTGCTTTCCGCTGTCAACCAAAGCTTACATTGAAGCATTCCTTCCCATTCCTCCCACTTCCCAAAAACACTTGCTTTTAATAAATGACCAACGAAAAGCCCAACATCCGAACGCAAGTTGGGAATATTAACACGAACAGGCTTTAACAAGCATGCAAACCTACCACTCACCAAGGAATGCCCATTCTCATGAACATCATGTCTTAGCGCCTATGTAGCTGGCCTTGATAGGAAGGTCACCCGCCAAGCGCCCCACTCGCCGTGGCAGTTCACATTTCACCCGGTGAATCCATGGCAGCTTGACATCCGGATCCTCCACACAAAGGAATCTCACTTCACTTCCACAGAAAATCTCAACTTCACCACCAGTTCAACGTCGGCTTGCGCCTGATGGAAGAGCAAGGAGATGTCGGCTAGAAAGATCTGTGGCCCAGCAGGCAGCTCTTGTTTCCGCTCCTGTTGCACTAGCCAACTATATAACGGTGGCGTTGATAGAGGAGCAAAACGTTGCAAACCGCTTGGCTGTGTCATGGCGAAGGCCGAGCCCACACTGTAGAGCTTCTGCCTGAGGGCCTAAGGGTGTCCTGTTGCTGGAGCCATTCTTTGTAGTCCTCCCAATCCTGGCAAAGAAGCACTGTCTCAGCTGGCGCTTGGCCCCCTGCCATGAGCCTAAAGGAAAGTTGCAATATGTTGCAATCCAACTGCATGTTCCACGTCTGGCCATCATAGGCTCTACACGCACGTCCTCCACAGAGGGTGCTGGACACTCCCAGCCCTGCTTCTTCCGCGGGCGAGGGGCATCTCGTGCCTGAAATTCAAACACGCAACTAGCACTGGTCACGTTGTTGTTTCTGAAACCCGACAAACCCGACCTAATGTCATCCCAGATGCCAGGCTCCAGCCAGGCTTACTTCGCTTCTCGCCCATGAGTTTCGGCCATGGGTTTCACATGTGATTCAGCCAAAGACAACCATGCAGTATGGGCTCTGCTCCTGTTGTTTGCAGTTGGCCCCCTTTCAGCTGTCAATCGCCCTCATGATAGCAACACACCATTACCAAAAAAGCCCTCTTGGCCTTTCAGTGTAGCGGCTTGATTTTCTTGTGTCTGTGACATGTGCATCAGTGTCAAATTGGTCGTCTCCTCATGCTGAGCAAATCATTGGTCTGAAATGCTGCTCAGTGCTGCTCAACACACAAGTGATCAGTGAACTGTTCAATTTGCGTTTGACCTGCGCATTCTGTTGGACGTAGCCCGTGAGCGCGAGCCCGTAAGGTGGCACGATTCTTTTGAATTTCATGACCCGCTACCTGCTTGTATCCATGAAGGTATCTTGCACACATTTGCAAATGTATTCCAGCAGCGGTTTTATGCACAAATCTCAGATACTGCTTCAACCAAGTCGGTGCATGGACACATTGAGCGGCAGTTACGGGTGGTTCTCCAAGTCTGCTGCTCCTCAATAGACATCCAAAAAGTACCGTCTTCACCTCCCTTGTAGTCACATGCGGCCTTCCAAAGCAAGACCAGGCAAGCCGTCAACCAAAGGGGAAAGGACAAGTGGTTGATAGTAGCAAACTGTTTGCACGTTGGGGCTGGCCGGCGGCTGGCCCAAATCTATGCGAAATTTTACCAACCGAGCTACATTAGATGGGAATGGATCAACAACAACAACAACAACAGCAGCAACAACAACAACAACAACAGCCATCATGTGCCTTCATCTCATCGGTCCACTCGCCAAATTTGTTCCTGATATGCTAGCACAACAAGAACATGCCATGTTCAAACACCCTTAGTGGTGCAAAGGAGTGGTGCAAACACAATGACAAAACATAGAAGTTTGCATCATTTCGGTACAGTGACCATTTTCATCACATCTTCGTGCCTCTCTCTTCAATCCGAGTGTCGCATCGGACCACTTGCCCTTCCACTCACCAGCACCCCAGGGGTTTCGGCCTCAACGACTCCGCAACCAGGTCAACCCATCCGATCAGCCTTTCTCAACACGGAAGCTTCTATATACAGTAACTGCGTAAAGAAAGGAACGCATCGTTGAACTTAGGCCTGTTTAAATTAATGAATATGCAGCACTTCTCCAGGCAGCGTCCAAACACACAAATGGCATCTAACACTGCACGCCAAAACCAGATCCTGAGACCTCGGCAGCAAATCAGCTTATGGCCGCATGCTGCGACCACGCGGAGCACTGAATAGACCTGGTCTCAAGCTGGGTTCCGTGATCGCAGTGATCCGCGCGAAGCAGGGAACATGACAAACACACCACCCGAAAGACACGCTACACCCTTGCGTGATCCGACAGAGCTACGGGTGAATAGCTAGCTAGCAAAAATGGGTGTCCGGGCGCAGCAATCAAAAGGTGGTGGGGATTAGCAGGTGGCGGAGTTGAATCGGTTGAATGGTAGAAAGCCGGTCATATAAATTCACGCACTGGCCCGACATAAACTGTGTTTTTTGATCTCAATATAATAGTTCATCGCTTCACCTTTCCCCGTTGTCATCTTACATGCTGGGACAGCTGCTAAGGTGTGCGCTGTCAACATTCACATCGGGAGGCTTCGCATTGCCAAAACAAGCAGCGTGATAATTGACCGCCCCCACTTGCCATACGAATCAAGTTTACTAATTCGACTCAGGGTTGACCGGACGGTCCTACGAAAACTGCCAAAAACAAATTGTAGAATTTGGATGCATGCAGTCACAACCTTGCTTGAAAAATATAAAGTGATCAGGCTGAGCTCCCCAGCATGGCCAACAACTAGCCCGTCATCACTGACACCCTGTGCGTGCGAGGTGCTGCTGAAACACTGGTTCTTCAAGCACATGCGCTGTCACACCTACACACACATGCACAGCACCACGCCATTATGTAGGTTTCTACTCAAGCCTTCTGCTTTCAGTGCAGTATCTGTTGCTCAATAAGTTAACTGTTGCACCGATACCTGTTACAGACATATCGTACCAGTCGGGCTCTGTTGAAAGAACGTGCGGCTTCAAAACTTTACAATGTGTTTTAACGATTGCCCGGGCACCAACTTTTACTTCATCCTTGCCGAAGAGTAGATGCGTCAACGGCATCCCGCGTAAATGTGTGTCTGTGTGTGTCAACTCCTGTCCCTATTAAGGAGCAGGACCACATTATATAATTCAACTCCACCTTAATCCCTCTAGGCTGCACCTGTATATACAGTCAAGCAGGGGGGGCACAGCGCGTTCAGATGACTACGCATACTGGGGTTGGCCATCCTGGCATACCTGCTCTTCGGCTTTTGTGGCGGTATCAAGCTGTGACACTCATCCTTTGTAAAGTGCTAGTGCGTGTGTTAAGCCTTTTTTTTGCGGACATTTTCGCCTTGCCGTTCCTGCGAGTCAAGCTCTAGTGTGGTCTAGTGTAGTCAATCACTAGCTGTCTGGCAGTTCCAAGCTGATACAGCTCTTGCGAGCATGCATCTAAGTGTGTGTCTATTTCCCCACCTGTCAGGTGAAAATTGTTAGATTTTGTTTCAGCTGCACTCCACCTCTCGCCCGCCTCCCTCAACTGCGAGGGCCGAGCGGCAGTGTTCCGCGCCGGACCTCAACTGCGAGGGCCGAGCGGCAGTGTTCCCCGCCGGACCTCAACCACCGCGAGCGCCGGCTGGCAGCGTTCCCCGCCGAACTCAACCGCGAGTTTTGCTTGGCAACGTTCCCCGCCGGACCTCAACCACGAGCTGCGGCTGGCAACGTTCCCCGCCGGAGACCTCAACCACGAGCGCTGGTTGGCAGCGTTCCCCGCCAGACCTCGACAGCCAGCTCCCAAGCGCACTGGGCGCTGCCGGACCTCAACCAACACACAAAGACATCTACAAACACAAACACGGAGTCAAAAGACACAACCACAAGCACAGTCACAAACAGTCACATCCACAAGCACACAACCACAAACAGGTCCACAAACACACAACCACCAACACAATCACAAACACACAATAACAACACACAAACACAAAGACACATCCACACAACCACAACACACAACCACAACTCACAACCCGAGGACCCACAAGCAAAATCAGAGAACCACAAAACTCACGACCATGGCAACATGCTCCTCACCGTGGCATGAAGACAAATGATTGAAATGTCATGGTGGGGATCACTCGAAGTAAAGTAATTTCACATACAACAATTTTCACAGATTCCTCATGCCCAGGATTGGGCAGCATATAACAATTTTCACATACAATTTTGCACCAGAATAGCATTACATGGCATTACTCCCCCCTTCTCTCTGCCTCTCCCTCCAACACCCTCCCTGCCTTTCCCTCCCTCCCTCGCTCGCTCGCTCTCTCTCTCTCTCTGTGGGAGAGATGCCTATATGGACATCCTCACCAGTCACGAGAAGGACCGCTAGCAACAGAACAATGTGACCATGGGGCCACTCTCACTCTCACGCGCGCGTGCGCTCTCTCTCTCTCTCTCTTGCGATAGTGGTTGGAACAATGATCTCCAACCCAGACTAGCTCGACAGCATCTAGAGCGGGAAGCCTCGCCGCACTTCCCCTGTGCCGCTACACCACCTGCATCAAAGTCAGCTTGATGGAGCCGATGGTCCGGAAGGTTGTTCGAAAAAGGGTCTTTCCAACAGTGAAAATATGTCAACAACTTGTAACCTCTCGCGCGCCACAGTAGAAATGCGGAGCCGTACCAAACAGCTTGCAGGTGCTTATGCTAGTCAATCTTCAGTCTTCTGTCAATAATTCCAACACTGTTGCACGGCTCTGCGTTCGCGGACGAGGAGCATGGTACCTGGGCTGATTTAATACGTCTGCCTGCCAATCTACGTTTCCTCACATATGTCAATGTCTGCGCCTAAGGCTGCGTTTTCATGCTGCTGGTGTAAAACCCCAAACCGAATGAATGCTTCGGAAGCAAGTATAACTCTCTGAATGAACACACACACATATATATATATATATGTGTGTGTGTATGCATGTATGCACCCATATCATCAAAGATACACCGTCGCACTATGAGGACTAGGACACCTGTTTATAGATTAGATGTTTATAGGCCATGGTGTCCCGTTGTGGCACTTCCACCAACCCCCACGGCCTTCCACCCGAGATCTTGTGAACGACGTGGAAAGCACCCAGCCCTGCGCATGCCTTGGCCAGGATCGAAGGGGTGGTGGCAACCTGAAATATGCAACAAAGGGGTGGCTTTGCAGTTGCTTCCTGCAAGATCTTTACCCCTCAGGCAGCAGCACATGGAAGAGCGTCTGGCAGGGCACAAATGCACAAATAACGTGTGAGAAGCACCATCTGTGTGAACATGCTGCATACTAGACTAGAATATTATAGAATATTTATGCCTGTATCTCTCTCTCTCTTACATCCTGCCTCTTTCTCTCTTGTCCATGTGTAGCACACATGATTGTCGCAAACACTTGAAGGAAAATCAAGTCCATCCTAAGGTTCGCAGGGCAAGCTGCAAACCAGGGCCTCAAAGTACACCGAGGCAGCAGAAGGATCTTTCCTGGTCTTCTCTGCAATGTTAAACCTCGTTTCGCTGCAAACCAAAAGTCCAACTGCACACACAAATGCAATGAACCTGGTAATGAAGTTCCTGGAGTATCGTGATCAAGCTGCTTTTGCCATCTGTCGCTGGCACCAACTGTGGCGTGTAAAGAAACTATGGAACGTTGCCTCCCAAAGCAAGCTGGAGCTGTTTCAACAATCAACACCTATATTTGTCAGCTATTATGATTTCCATCTGTGTTGGGATGCGCGAACCCAAGCCCGCCAGCCTGACTATCCAGGTTGAAATGTAAAACTTAGCTCAAGGATGCGCTGCACACTTGCATTCGTGGGTGGCTCATTCCCGAACTGTAGGAAGAACTCACAGCAAAGGGCGCCGTCCACCAAACGAGACAAACACCTGTACAGCACGGGTACTTATACATAGTATATCATAGTATATCTGATTATCTGATATCTGAACATCAGGGTAATGATATGAAATAACTGTCTTTCACATTCTTCCTTGTCCTGTTCGGCAGTCTCATCCCGTTGACCGGGAATGATGTCGAAACATCCTTGCTACGCTGCACTTCCTTGGAAAAAACTTTCGAGGCTTGGCCTGTTTTGGCGGAAGAGGGCCTCGGTTTGGGCTGTTTCCCGTGGGCCGCTGTGGCGGTGACCGAGCAAACTCCCCAGGTCGCGATGAAATCATGATCAAATCATCAACCGAACAGTTTTCGGGTGTCAACAATGTCAATCAGATATGATCGAAATCTCTTCAAATCGCAACTTTCACTTGAAGGTGATCATGCACAGTGCCCACCAGAGGTGGCATCTGGCTGGTACTGAAGTTCTTGCTCAAAACGTCGCAGCTACAAGTGTGGTCAATGGTGAAACTCTTTCCTGAAGCAAAGGCTTCGTTCTTTGAGCAAGGCAATGGCAAAATCTTGGAGAAAAATGTTGGCCTTATGCTGGCATTCAAGCATCCACCAGTGCAAGGCTAACGGCGGAGTGTGCGAAACTCGGAGCCGCTGCTTACACATTTGGCAGCTGACTTCAATCGGCCGTTTTTCTGGATCGAGCCTTGACGTTTGATCTTCTTTCCCTTAGTTATGCACTGTGTCCATCTATGTCACTCTGAACAGCACGTTATGCGTCCTTTGGCACTGGGTCAGGGGATGTCAGCTACTGCTAATTCGGGCGCTTCGAGGGTTCAGCCTCAGATCTTTTCCTCCAGTCAAGATCTGATAGTTGAACCATGCTTTGCGCTGCCTTGCTGATTCTGTGTCTCGGCGAGCCCTCGGCACAAAAGCAACATGATGAATGTGGGACAGCTGAACAGTCACAAGGAAGGCACAGGTGCCACTTGAATGCTAGCAGTTTTCAGCAAGGACATTATAGTAATTGTTCGTCATTCCTCCCACATCCCATCACGACACCCAACAAGCAACCCAAGTGGCACAAAACTTGCACAATCGCGACAACAACTTGCCCAAATGACATGATCTCAGTTGACTTAGCAGCTAGCCTCCACACCGATTGAAGAATCTGGTCTAGGGCTCGTGAAATTCAGGATTTCTGGCAGCCATACGCCAAGCATCTAAGCCAGCTCCAGATGTTTGGTCTTCCTGCCCGTTGGTGCTGGGCACTCAACAGACTGCCATCTTCAGACCCCAGGTTCCTATACTCTCAGTTATTGAGAAGCAGGAGAAAGATTATTGTTTATGGCAGAACTGGAGTTCTCGTCCCAAGCAACGAAGGCACCTCCTTCTCCGCATTTCGTGTGGGCGAAGGATCAGGCGTCCGATATCCACGGTTCAGGCTCTTCAGCTTGACAGCGGAGCGCACATCCCTGTAAGCGACCTGCAGGTTGCTACGCCATCATAGCGCCCATGGCATCAGTATCTCATGTGGGGTCATTGAAGTCGCACAAACAAAGACCATGAGATGTCAGTTGTTCTTAGGAAAAACCTTGAACAAAACTGCAACTACTGCAACCGGACTGCAGGGTGAGCAAAAACCAAGGCTCTGAATAAAGGCTCTATATATGAATATGTAGTTTCACTAGCCACGCAACAGCCCAAAAGTAACTTGGCCTGGCGCTGGACCTGCCACTCCATCTGTAGCTTGGCCTGGTGACAAACACGTTCCGAGGAAGGTGGATTGGAATGATGTGACGACACTTGACGACCAGCCTTGCTCAGCAGCTTCTGCATTTGTGGTGGGTTCGGTGCAGCCTGGCCGGCGAGTTGCATCACTGCTGTGGATTTGTTCTAGATTCTAGGGTTTCTCCCCAACACTGCGACCCAGCTTCAAACAAAATCTGCGACTGTCTGCGATTCATGTGAGCAGAGCTTTCAAGAGTCCCGAAGGGATCGTGCACAAGTTTGACAAGTACTGTACTTGCATCGAGCATTTACGGTGTACAATGCAAACTGCACACAGGACATTGATGAAATTTGATGAAACCATGGAAACCATGTGATTCACCTCCACTGGCTTCGGTGGCACCACCGCCGGTGGCATTGGCAGCTCCGAGGCCCAGCATGGCTTCCTTGGTGAAAGCACTCTACCACCGAAGTAACCTACAAGCACCACACAAGTAGCATCCAGTAACTAAGTAACCATGGTGAAAGCATACCGCATACCGCATACCATTGGTAACATACCATACTGGTTAGGCCTTTCCGCTAATTACAGGGAGGTTGCTATCGACCAGGCGTCAGGCACTTCGTCCAACTCACAACAGCACTGAGCATCGCGCCTGTTCAAGGCCTCCAAGAGGGTGGTGCGATCTTCAATGGGGAAGGCCAAATTCTCAGAACTTGTGGTTCGATTCAGCACTTGGGCCTTCCCAGGCGAAATGACGCTGGGTGAGACCGTGTGTCGGCCTACTCTTCATCATACACCATGATCTACCATGCCCTTCAAAACCTGGGCCACGCATGACTGGCATGTGATTGGCACTTTGCCTTGGCAAATCAGGTACGTACTTGGTTGCTAAACCCGTGGTGGCAGAAGTTTTCCGCATGCCAGCACCGAGTGGCAAGCTGAACGTGTGTCGGCAATGTCTCACATGCGCATACGCAATGCATCGTGGTGGGGGGCAGAGGCAGGAAGGGCAAATGCATGCAGTCGGTTTTCTGCCAGCTTGTGGAATTTGCAAACTTTGCGCAAGCTGGTGCCAACCATGGCTTTCCCGAACCAAATCGAACCGTCATGATATTTCAGAATGGCGCTCAAGGAACTGGTCTTGACACCGCAAGCAGCACAAAACACTATTCGTGTGTTTCAGGCCTCTTGGTCCTTCATGATGCTCGTCATATCTTTCTCCGAAATGATGCCGTCCCGGTCTACATCAAAAGCGGCAAAAACATCAGCGACATCCGCTTCGTGAATCCTTGGAGAGCCATCACAACCTATTGGAATATGTGGGCATTGAACAGGAAGATACGAGAACAGCAACTCCTGGCAATCACTCATGACACCTTCCAGACTCAAGCTGCGTGTTCTCATTCAGAAGTCATGTTACCAGTAACTTGCGAAGTCTAAGAAACGACCTCAAAAAGCACGACCCACCGGCCTTTGTCTCTGGTTGCTAGTGAGCTACCACGGGACCTTTCTCTCGTTGCCCAGGTACTGGATCCGCCCAGCGCCGATCATCGCACCGAGAAATTCGAAGAAATGAAGGCGTCCATCACCGGTTCGATCCAGGGCCGCGATGGACCGGAAGGAGTCCCTGGATCGACCAAGTCCGGTCCGGCAGCGGGTCCGTTCCGACGTCCGAGCATTGACTGTAACATCGGGCGAACTCCGGATTTTTTGGAGGAATATGGTAATATGATATGGTTGAATGACATCGCAACAAAAAAGAATCACAACTGTGTGAGGCGTACCGCGAGGTGTATCCAAGCGTTTCATGATGTTTTTCAGACTCTGATACTCTGATACATATATACAGTACATTATCGGCACCTCTCTTGGACTCTTAAGTTGTTGAGAGATTGAGAGCACATAAGGTTTATACATAGTATACAGTGTATATATATATATATACAGTATAATATGCGCGTGTGTATCATTATGTATCCTACAGAACTTCTGGCATCTGGCAGTGTCTCTAGCCAGGCGTCACATGGGCAAGCTCTGATCCGTTTGACTTCTCTTTCTCCGGCTGAGCAACGACCTCCTCCAACCGCATCACAAGAAATGAAGCTGACCATTCCTCTTGTTCAAAATTATCAGGCTAGTCTGCTGTCCTCGAATGCAGCAACCAGCTTGCTTATTGAGAGTGCACCCTTAGGCGCAAGAGTCTCCAAGCACTCTAAGGCCATGAAATAATCCTGGCGCAGCCACCAACAGCAGGTGACACAAGTGCCTGCGAACGGCAAGTTCTCTGCTGCACCTTGTACAAGGTCCACGTCTCAGGAGATAGATAAATGGTCGACGCCAGTGAGCCTGTAGATCCCAAGAGCCATGCAGCATGCACCAACTACAGTGCAACCCTTCTTTCCCTTATTTCGTCAAGGCTTCTACTCCTTCCTTTCCCTATAGGCCTATAGGCCCTACACCCCAGGTCATCCCATTCATTTGATCGCCGCAAAGGGCGATAACCTGGAGAGGATTGGAGAGAACTCTAGTAGACTCTAGAATACAACATGTGTTGGAATCCCCTACATTGCCCTACATACAGCATCATACAGCAATGTGCTTGCAAAAGTGTATGCAAATGGCCTTGATGCACGAGGATCACGCAACAATTGGCCCTCCGCTCATTTGTTCACCGAGTCTCCACATATGTGCGCCAAGGCGGTGCACTTAGACATTCGGGTTCCGGCAAAGCACAAGTCCTGCACATGTGAAGCACAAAGCTTCAGAGATTGGAACAGGGCTGGCAGCTCTCAGCCGCACCTTCAACACAGGCGCCAGCGCCATGAGTGGCATTTGGCCTGAAGCCACCTCGCGACAAAGGTGGAAATCAGCAAAGCATCGAAAGCAATGGGATGAGGCAAGGGATGTCAACAAGGTCATCAGCAGAAAGGCCTGACAAAGCCAGGGGTGCATCTGAACACCAGCAGCAGTCAGCCTAGGATCACTCTGCTGTACTCAAACGTTCAACAGGCAATGTGTCCTTTGACATTGGAGTGGGAACCCCCAATCTTGTGCAAAGTTGCCGCTTCTCTGGCTCTCTCTCCATGCATCTTCGGATCAAATCCTGCACGTGAATGGCGTCATTCAGTTAGGTCAGGCTGCTGTTTCACGGCGTCGCTTTCGAGGTTGGCAACGAACGCATTTTGCAACAACAAAATGGCACTGTTTCGAGACGGCTTGGACCATTTAATTTAAGTCTGAGTGAATGTGCCTAAATGACGAAGGTCTGAACAAGCCAAACTCTGATCATGAAATGAACGCCTCATCATAGAGTTGACGACCAAAATTCCCAAACAAGGGTCCTTGCATTGCGGAGAGACGTTCTCCCATCGACGGCCCTCAAAGTGTTCAGCCAAAGGGTCATCACAGTACTTGAAGTTGGCAATATTCCTCAGTAGAGTGTCTGTAAGACTTGCTCTTGGTCAGATTTGTAGCTAGTGACTTTCGGATGCATGTTCCCAGTACCCCACCCTCGCATTCTACAAATTGCAAACTCTCGGGTGTGTAATTATTCTAAATCCAGGTGTCCAAATCACGTCTGCATGGTTCTTGCCATTGAAGGGCGGCATGCCACTCACCAGCATGTAGATCAAAACCCCTAGCGCCCACACATCCACTTCTTGACCATAGCCATCGCCTTTGCAAATGGCTCCATCCTTCAGGCCGATGATCTCCTCATGTTCCAGAACGCAGTATGATGAGATGCGGCTCTGGCGGCTGAGCTCCGTTTTCTGTCGGTCAATGTGAAGGAGTTGCCTATGGTCATCCTCTGTCGGCCACCTACTCTCTCACAAACATGGAATCTGAGAATTGACCGGCGGAAGACCATTTTCCTCTACAACCCAGTGGTTTTGGGGTTCCATGTTCTGCAGGGAGTATCCTTGGAACTGGCATTGCGACATCGTGGGACATCGTGCAACATCGTGCAACCGGTGCCAAGCAGCTGGAGCAACGTAGTAGCAAGTGCCACACATTTGCATCAACTTTTTGGCTCGGCCTGCCGGAAGAAAAAAGATCCAGAGACATCCAGAGATACATAATATGGAGCTGGCACAAAGTCACACACCTCCACGAGTAATAACTGACACTGACTAAGGCACAGGCTGACATACAATACGTATCCAATCTAAGCATCATACTGGGAAAAATGAGAAATGTGTCCCACTAGTCTTTTGCCTTTTCAGGGCATAGAATCAAGAATGCATTTTGTGGTGCAACTCCTTGCACAATCGAAGCGGCCCCCCCCCCTCACTCAACCTCCGGACTGTCCTCTTGTATTGTTTGGGATTTTGCACAACCTTCTAATTCCTTCTAAAATCAGACCATCGGATGGTGAGATTTGCCCATTGACTTGTGCCCTCCCTGGTTGGGTGATTGCTCCACCGGTCAGGTCAGGGAATGTGAGGGAATGTCTTGCTTGGTCTTGATACCTCAAGGATCATTGGAGACCTGATAAACTTCGCAATGGCAAGCTTGGGGATCTTGAAGGATGTGTTGAATATCCTGAAAAAGTCACCGGCACTCACTGGTCAACTGCGTCTGTAAGCCTGAACAGGCCAAGGGTTTTCTCATGTTCAAAATGTTCAAATCATAATGTAGGCTTGAAACCCCACAAAGAATCAAGGGACTCTCGTCAAAAGGTGCCGGTTAAACCAAGCTAAATGAAGCCTTCAAGGCAGGCTCACCACTGCACTAGGCAGGCCTTGGATATACAATGATCCTGTTTCGAGCAGGCCATCAGCCCGGACGCCCTAACACCCACCACAATTCTGCCCAAAAGCATGTGCTGACCATACAGCAATGCTGTAGGACATCCAGTCAACTGTGGCAACGAATGGCAGCGTTCGAAGCCGGCCTTCTGTCACAATTTGGGTGGCTAATCCAAAGTCAATGAGCTTGAGCCGCTCCTGTTGGGGCGAAGCAAAGACCCAGTTTTCAAGCCTTGGATGCGGCTGATTTCGGCTGATGCACTTAGATGTGCAGATCACGAGAGCTCGGCTCCAACCAGAAAACTCGAACTTGAATAAGGACTGTGCAACAATCCAAGAGGGTGACCTAGACTGCGCTACACAAGCGAGAGACCTCCAAGTACATGTTGCAGGATTGAAACACTACCACCTCTGCCGCCTCTGTCCAAGCAACTTGATGTCACGATGCACCATGCCCATGCTATGGATATAGCGAATGGCCGCGGCCATCTGCTTTACGAGCACTGCGATGCGTGCCTGGACTTGACAAGAACCAAACATCCTGCGAAAGCGCCTCAGAACAAAGTTCCCAAGTTCCAAGAATGTAAACAAAATGGCCTCCGTGTCCAACATGCTGGCACCCTCACGCTTCACTGAGGAAGTTCCAGCAGCCAACTCGAACAACTCTCCTTGCCAGTCAGCCGGAACAAAGCGAAGCAAGGCCAAAGGGCCAAAACATTCCTTGGAGCCAAAAGCCCTTCGAGCAACCGCGCCAATGCCCGCCTCCTGCGCAAAGCTCCATACATATCCAAATCTCGCCGTTCTTTTCCACGAAGGCCTGTCAGTTCAATTGAGTTCTTTTGCTCTCTTGTGGAAGGGGCGTTCATAAGTAACACACTGGACTGCATTCCTCATGTGGCTGGTTCTGAAACCCCACAAATATGATGAAAGCGGCATATTTGCCTTGATTGCACGCAGAAGCGATCATCTGACACGGTCAAACGGGTGTTCATCCATGGTTGCGTCGTCCTGAATCGTTTCTGAAATATACGTATGCAAAGCAACTAATTACTCTGTGTAGTATATATCATGTTGCAAGGTTTGTGCGTTTCATGTCGTTCAGCTCTTGTGACAGTGACAGCAATCCATGACAATCCCGTCATGTCAAAACAAATATACATCAAAAGCAAATAAATATACAGGTTTTGCCAATTACATCAGAACTCTTATCTTATCCTCTTATCTGATATCCATGTTGTGCTCGCAGTCCACTTCCAGTATAGTAGTACAGTACTGTATAGGGCGGTGGCTTTACACATTAAAAAGAACAGGTACCAACTTGCCCACCGTCCAGGCAGCTTCTGTTCTTGGTTATTTACTGTATAATACTGTATATACTTGCCTATGCCATACATGTCCGTCCGTGGATCCTGGCCTGAAGCAACCGGCACACGTTTGGATGTGACAAGCGCAGGTACAGCGTGACCTTCCAAGGAATCTCCACACTCATGTAGAGTCACTGACAAAAGCACACTCAGTGCGGGCGCAGCGGCTAGCAAAGAAACAAAGGAACATGCACTTTAGGTTCCGCGAATCGATTCCAACACTGCAACTCATGTTGTCGTGTGTCCTTCTGCTCATGACCACTCAGTGAACGCACCTCCTCTGGCAGGGTATTGGTGTCAGGTTCTTCAAGGCATTTTGCTGCAACTCGACGTCCGCTCTTCCGATGCTTGGCAACAAGCACAGCGCCGTGCATTCCAGTGCCAAGCACCTCTTCTTTGCCCTCCTGAAGGCCGTCGATCCGTCTGAATCAAATCACTATTCTGTTTTGTCCACGAACGTTTCCAATGACTTGGAGATCTCCATGTCATCCAACTTCTATGCGGAACAGGTTCGACAAGGGGGGTAAGTGCCGTACCCATGCGAAAGCAGAAAACAAGAATTTGCCACACCGCACTGTCCGATTCTCCTTTCCGATGTCGTACACATCCTGATCATTGAATCATTGAAGTCTAACTTAACAGTGTCCGCAGAATAGAAACAGGCATGAACCCTTTCTCATCCTTTCCCGTATATAAACCCCTCTTGAAACAGGTGGGAACCAAAGCCGGCGCTTGTCAGCAGCGACATTCAGCACGTTGGTTACACCTAGTTGCTCTCTGCTTTCATCCTTTCGTCTTGGCCCTTGGCATTTTAAATTGAACATCACTTTAGACTGCTGCAGTGTTGTCATGCTGTGTTTTAAGAGGAGCTGACCAACATTAGATGGAGTTCATTCCATAGTTTACATAGTACTTCTTGCTGACACGCTGGCGCAGCCAGTATCAATTCCAGAGTTGCCATACGTCACAGTGCCTCTTATTAAACATGTGGTATTGTATGTAATAGCAAAAATTCATCTGAGCTTGCGCTCACGTTGCTGATTTCACACTTAGCACTTCTTTTTCAGGTGCTTCCACTGATACAGTCATGACCTGACTGAAATCCATGCTTTACCTGAACTGAGTGGCCATTGATTGCAGTGTCCAGCAAAAACAACACTGTCAAGAGTAAGCCAACAGTTGTACAATTTAACCCTCCGTCTCAATTCTGCATGTTTGTCACGCCATCTGGGAAGGCACACATGATCATCAAGATTGGAAGACATATATCGGAGTACTTCGTACTTTACTTAGGCAGAATGAAAAACTTATCAATCGTAAACGGGGATACTCAATCAAAGAGATCTATATAAACAACAAAGGCAAGCCGCATGAAAGGAGATATGTCTCAGCACCTTCGACTGTATCGCCAATGGCAGTTCTGACTCCTGGAAGAACATGGCTCACGCAATTTGCATGAACATGTCCTTTTTCTGATGACACTGCAAAAGGGGATTGGAAAGCAAGCCTTGACACGGGGTCTCCTCTGCACGAGGTTCAAATGACTCATCTATGCCAGAAGAGCGGGTCTCATTGCTAGCCGGCGTCCCTACAAAGGAGGTCATTGTGTTCACCAGCACGTTCTTAACCTCGGCTTCTTTCACTCAGTTCCCCTTGGCATGGTTTGTGATGTTCATTGCTGTGTCAACACTATCAACACATGTTCGGCTGGAAACCCTGTGCCTCAGCACCCCTGCACGCGTCCAAGGGACGCTGACACCAATGTCGGAAACATTTGAGATGAAGTTTTGGCAGCTGACGGCCTTAGCAAACCTCTTTTTGCGCAAGAGCCGCCGCATCCCCCAAACGACAATTGCTGCAGCCACGCTGGAGGCCTCGTGAAGACGGAACAAGTCACTCTTTGATTGGAGACAAACCATGCTCACTCAGCAGGGTGTTCTGTCAATCTTGCTGGTAGATAGCATGTCAAAAAATGTTATAGATGGGCATTCGAAACCCAACAAAAGACCAACAAAAAAATGCGTAGGCAGAGCCGACTTCCAACACAACAGCAGGGAACTCCATACAAATACGAAGGCCACGGTGGGCCAAGGCGGCCAAGTCACTGCAATTTTGCCCGTCATGGCTCGAAGTCGGGCAAAAAATTGCTGCCTCTTCTGCATGGCACACCGCGTGCTTGAGTTCTTGTGTCCTTGCCTGTCACCACTGTCATTGGTAGCCTTCTCGTCATTGGCTTGTTTATAAGCTATGGATCACACCACAAAGATATTCGGCAAAAAACCTTGTTGGTTGGACTTCCTCTTGGTCAACTGACAGGTGGGAGTAGCTTTTGGAGCCGCCGAACTGCAAAACCAAGCATGGTGCAAGGCTATAAGTTTTATTATGTTTTATTTAGTCCAAGCTTTCATTTATATGCCATTTAGCTGGCATGTGCCTCAGCGTTTGAGGGTGTTCAAAGGCTTGGAGTGCTTGTCCTTTCACACAGAGCCCTGGAAGATATCCAAAGTCCAGCTGAGGCCGCACACTTACCCACAGCTCCCCCGAAGAGGACTGATACTGCCTGGCTGCCGGCATTTGCAGCTGTCGGTAAGCTTCAGAATGCTTGAGAACACATGACGCTAAGCTTCTGTATATAGATTCGGGCATGAACAAATGCCTGAGAGCAATAAGGCAATAAGCTGATGCTGACAGAAACGCTCGCTGGCTGCACTTCTCCCGGGAGGCCACCATCACACATCTCGTAGCAGGAGTGCAGCCTGGGTGACTTGCCCATCATGAGTTGCTCTCTGTACCTCTCCGTTCTCAGTGGTCAACTTGCAAAAGGCCTTCTCCAAAAGAGGCACCCACCTGAGACAACAGGCATCCCACCAGCTATATATATATAAGTCTCATGGAATGGCTTTGCCAATAGCCACACTGGATATATAGTTCCATTGTGCAGAGCGAAACGGCGCGCACGCGCTACCTAAAGGTCCCTCTATCATATAATATAATATATATACATATATGCATACGGTAAACCACAAAATATAGGGCAACATATGCAGTTGCTTTAATGCTTGATGCGTCAAGGGTGATAAACGAAACTGCCAATAGATGCAAATGTTGTTAATGCTGATAATGCTACAGTAGTGCCATACTGTCCAGACTCCTATATAAGTTGGAACTACTGATCATCAGTTGGAGCTGCTGATCTAAGTTGCATCCAAAGAAGTATTTCATGGCCAAACAGCTGGTTCAGCCCGTTTCGTGACAAACCATAAGCCCCCCGCATCTCATCGTGGTCATAGGATCTGGCAAACCTTAGCATCCAGCACAGGTAACTGCCAAGTCTCCCAAAAACAATCACGTTGCAAAAACACATTGAGTTGCCAATAAAATGCACACCAAAACGGTCACCACGCCATTCTTTTGGCAGTAAACAGCCAACGCCTCCATTCTCTAAGCTCTACACAAAAGGCGGCCATACTCATCCACGGGCATCCAATCCTTGGGCCCCAAAGTCTTCTCGGAGCCCCGCCTCCTCTCCCACGCTATGAAGACAACAAGCAGCACGCATGACCACCTGTTTTTTAATAGATTGTGCTAGCACCAAAAAAAGGCACCAAGGTTCACTTAGCTCACTGGATTCCATCACATTTCATGACCCATATTACTAGATAGTCAACTGGTTCGGTGCAAATCCTCGCAACCTGTCTAACATGCTCAACCCCCCCTGGCTCAATGCAGCTACAAGTCGTCAATCACGGTGTGGTACCATTCTCCGTCTAAGTAGAACCTGGGCATCAATGCGGCAAATGGCAGGCGGCATTGGAGATCGTCAGTTATCACAAGAAACGTTCAAAAAAACATCAAAAAGCTTACAGTATGGTCTTATGTATATATGCATACGCACCGGAATTTTCAATAAGTCCCCCCCCTCATCCAACAAACTGCACGTGCTTTATGCAAAGCAGTCTCCCCACCTGATGCCGTAAACACCCACATCAACGTCGTAGGACATGAAGCAAGAGTGAACATTCTCGGGGTCCTCGGCTACCTGACTTGCTCGATGTGACATCATCATTGAAAATGGCTGGCCCACACAGTATGGTCCAGTAGGTTCTTGCTACTAGTGGTAATGCCCTTGTTGTTAGTATCTTCTTGTTATTAGTAGCGATGGCCTCCAACCTAATAGCGATGGCCTCCACCTAGTAGCTTCTAGTTTAGTAGGTCGCTAAAAAGGTCCAAACAAAACATGGACGAGGTGTATGAGCCACCAGTGCGGCAGGACAGTTTTGGTTCGGCGGTTGGATTGAGACGGCATCAGCCAATAACTCGAGTTAGACACAGTTAGACTGAGCTAGACCTGGTTTGGAGCAAGCAAATCCACAGCGATCCACATGTGATCAGGTCGGTGGAAGTTTCATTTGTTAATGCTTCAGCGTGCTGCGGCCCACGCAAGGGCTCCCAAAGCCTCAGCACTGGCACACTTCGACAGCACAGTCGTGAATATTCACTGTTTCAAGGCATCCCTATGTTCATCCATTCTCATCCAAGTTACAAGTTCATAATGTTTCATCCTTGTGTTCTCTTCAATGCAGTCTGCACTGATCAAATGAATTCAAACATGCCCCAGGCCCTGTCCTCCCTTGTCGGTGTTTTGCGTGACCGTGGTCGATCTATTTTGGTGTCATCCTCTGAACCTCAAGTCTGACCATCTAACAGGCTTGCTCCCCCACCAGCGTCAATAGAAAACAACATCCATATGGGGTTGTATAAAGCCCCCGTATCCATTCGCTACATGCCAAAACATGTGATCGTATTTCTTTCCAGGTTTTCATCTCACACACAGGCCATACCCTAAACCCTTTGCGATGACGCTAGCCGCTAGCCTTGGGCCTCAGTTCTGTAAAACGTTCTTTTGTTTTTGACTTTTAGTGCTAGGCCTACCACCAGGATCTAGCATGGTGTCACTTCAAGGCTGTCCCAATTGTCTAAGCACTGGAGCACTAGTGACCAACTCACAGACTAGTCACTAGTGAACAAAAATTACACCACCGAAGACCCCAAACAGTTTGTGTTTCAAACTCGGAACACTCGGCAACTAGAGCCTGCGACGTCCAGAGCTGGGAGACAAAGGATTGCAAGGCAGAGGCGGACACAGCAGCCCAGAGCTGGGAGACAAATGTCAAGGATTGCAAGCAAGTGGCGGACACAGCAGCCCGGAGCTGGGAGACATGTAAAGGACTGCAACACAGCAGTCCAGAGCTGGCAGACAAATGGAAGGGATTGCAAGGCAGTTGGCACCGCGCAACAAGAAGGGAGACAAGAAGGGAAACAAAAGGAAACAGAAGGGAGACAAGGCGGACACAGTGACCAACAAGAAGGGAAACAAAGGGTGACAAGCCGGACGGAAGGCGGACACGCTGTCCCGCAGCAAGGCGGACACTCTTAGAAAGCATTGAGGACCCCTAACAGTGACCTGTTTGGGAAAGCGAAGAAAATCACCCGGGAGACAAATGAATAGAAATGCTGCATGGCCAGCGGAAAAGGGCGGACACCAGCAATGCAGGCACCGAACCTCAGAGACAGAAGGGAAGAAATTACATGGGAGACAAATGAATAGAAATGCTGCATGGCCAGCGGAAAAGGGCG